TCGGCGTTACCAAAAAAAATCGAACATTATGCGGCAGCCGCTCGTTCGAATCGAGCTTGGGTCCTAGCACATGTTTGACCAACCTTTTGGCGGTCGCTTTTTTGTGATCGTCTTTGGTTGGTTCGGTTTGAATTGGAATTAATATGTTTTCGCGGGAGGGTGAAATACTTTGGATAGTTGCAGCCGAGGCGAGCCAACCCGAAATTAGGAGAATCATTTACTAATTTTGCCAGCCCATCCCTCTTGCTACGCACATAAGTTTGAGGCACAATTGAATTCTCAAACCGGAGAGCTCGAGGGAATATACATGTTTTATCTTCTCCAATATCTTTTCGTTGAAGCGCACGCATTGTCAATGCCCAGCGGCGGATGGTCCGCATCCGCGTCGCGCAAATCGCGTGTTGTTACGGGGGAGTTGCTCGTTCGAGCCGAGCCTGGGGCGTACGGTACGCGATCATGGTTTGTTTTGACATTTGGTTCGCCCCCGGTCAAGTTCCCGAGCTTGGGATGGAGCCGGCTGAGTTTTTGGGTTTGGTTGAAATGCTTGAACTTCAAGAGGTCCATTCAGGGCTTCGCCGTCAGTCACCCGAAATCGCACGACCTGGCGCTTTCTAAGTAAGAAGTAAGACGTCGACATTCGTTCAAGGAGGGAGTCCTTGTGAGGCCCAGTGCCGGAAGGTCTGTCCCAGCTCTGCATGCCTTTTCGCACGTTATACAACGAATTCTCGATCGAATCGAGCCTGGGTCATTCTATTGATATGCCTGAACATACTTTTACTTTAGTTTTGGTATTTTTTTAACGCGGTGCCGCTGTTTAAGTTCGCGGTCCAACGGTCTTTAATTTGTAGCTGAAAGTAGAAATACAACCATTCCTCTGCGCATACCAGTGCGAGGTTGGTACACCAGATTCCGAGGCCATCTCTCCAATATTTGCGATTCTTCCACTTTCGTAGTGTGTCAAGGTCTGGTTCGGTTCAGAACGCGTTCTAACCGGAATTTGTCAGCGATCTCAAAATGAGCAACGTTCAACGTTCCACTCGGAAAGCAATATCCCGGCATACCCACTCCGACTAGTCCTTGAAGTGGAGACAATTAGAAGTGATGGGTGCGCAGCCGAGGCCCTCTAATTTGAATACCGTTACAAACACCGGTCTGCACACCGGTTTGCAAACAGAAATTATATACACGACCCTACGAGACTACGAGACCCTACGAATCTGCCAAAGGTCTCTAGGCCCATTTCTCCAAGCTCCGATGCTCGCTCAGCCCAACAGGAGCGAGACTCCGAGTAATGGAATTCAGGTCTTTCCCGCAGAAAATGCGGGGTAATCAGAGCCAAATCGTGAAGACATAGCGAATGTCGCTGTGCAAGGCCAGACACCGAGAATGCTGTGACCTATACTGCAAAATCTTCATGATCAACCTGGCCTGTCGCGATCCTTCCGCTGACGGGGCGGAATCGAATAGATTGGGATGGTTGGGTTGTATACTGTTCGGTCGATATCCCCATCCCAACCCGGGTCAGCACGAGAGCGTTCGCGATGCCGGCCTGTTGCTGTATTAATTGCCGCATTGGCTAAGGGGTAATGTTACGCACTATTGGCGGCAGGGTCGCAACTGCAAAATATTGTGAATTGTCGCCGATCTGATGGGTTATTGCATAGAACAGGGCCCATGAGCTGCAGGTGCCAAATTATTTAGTCCTCTGCATGAGACACGGAGTGTGAATACTGAACGTGTATAGTGCTGAACTCTCAACGAGCATCGCTAGGAGGTCCTAAATGTACCTCAGATTTCGTCTGACTTGGGGGTTGGTGTCTGACACACCCTGAGATTGGTTCCGCCCGTGGGCACACACTCCTTTGTGACAGTATATATTTTCCAGGCGATGAGCACTGTGTTTGAATTTGTTACACCGAGCATGGATGTAAACGGAGGCGTACCCGTGCAATAAATGTTGGTTCTGTCGTTGACATTCGTTAGAGTATCGGCCGTGTTATGAGGTGAAAGCAGCGTACGCGAGCGTGAAAAGAAACCCAGTCAGGCTCACAACCGCCGCGACATTCCCCAGTTTGTTGTCGCGGAGTATAAGGACGACCGCACACCCTGAGATCCATTTTCAAACTTCGGTCTGTCAGAATACGATGGTGTGCACCTACGAACCCAATCGCCGCGAGCACCGGCAATAAAATAATCGGCCTTGTGCGGCACCACACGATGTAGAGGCGATATATCTTGTCTCTTGGTTAACAAAATATCGGGGGAGAGAATCACGTACTTGCCATTATCAAGTCGTTGATGAATACCGAGCATAGCGTGACCATATTAACAGCAACTGCTGTGGGCTGGGTGCCATCTGCGAAGAATACGCTCGGTTGCTCGTTAACAAAAAGAAAGCCTTGAAAGATCCGGAAAGTGAGTAGGATGCAAGTCTGTCGGTGTTGGAGTTAGCTGAGTATTTGCCGGGGAATAACTATCCCTACACTCGTGACGGTCGCAAAAAGAATGAGGGCCGAAACAAATGTCGGGGACCGGTAGAACGACCTGGGTTTGTCCCCAGTGACGCGCCGGGAAATGAGCCGCGTAGAGGTCAAAAACAAATTGAGATAGATGCCGTAGAGGACGTTGCCCACCGCCATACCAGCCATAATCCCTACGAGAGGTGTCATTGCGTGATGGGATAGCGAGTGCCCGTCAGGATAGCCTCGCCTTATATCAAGCTTCGGAGAAGAAAGCCTGGGAAAGATCTGCCAAAGTTGTGTGGTGGTGACAGGACCCCTGACAATGCCTTTGGAGGCTAGGTCCCGGCGGAGCCCGATCGGCCGATTTTTGTCCGGACAGATTTCGTCGTTGAAGCCCGATTTTTGTCCGGATGGGACCTAGCCTGCCCAAAATCGGCTGTTTTTAATTTCAGGACAGAGATATGGCTTCTACGGGCCTGTAGCATGTCAAGATTCACATTTTTGTGCTGTTTGAAGCCTCTAGAAATGTTGGAAATATATTTACTCAGAATCCTCGCCATCATCATCGCCTGACTCCCCTCCCGCTGCTACCTTCTTCTTTCCCCTCTTCCGAAACAGCTTCATCGCCTCGTTGAATTTTCGCAACACCCCAGCAAGCGTTTTGAAGCGGGCAACATCCTCTTGTGTTAGCTCAATTCCTGTGGGGAAAAGCCGCGCAGGAGCCGACCACAAACACAAGAATTGGACGGGTGGGATGTGCACGAATTGCTTGGTTTGTACCGCTGCGGTAGCGAACGGGATCGATCCGAATTGCCCACCATGGAGATTCTCGAAAACCTGAACCGAGATCTTTGATAGGGCGGAAATATTCGAGGAGTCAGTTACGGGTTCATGTTTCCCGCACTTGCCGCCACCTTTACCAAAAATTGTGATTGTCTTTGTATAGCTAAAGATATCGGATTTGTAAAATGGTGTTCCCCGAAGCTCGAACACACGCCAACAAAAAGAGAATTAAATATGAAGAACACTCCAACTAGGCCACACGAGCACATACTTGACCTTCAGACCGACCTGAGTCGACACTTTTGTCCGGACCCGGGGCCTAGGTACCCCGGCTCCAACCCCTCATTTTTGTCCGGTTTGGACCTAGGTTTTAGGGTCAAAATCTCAAATTTTTGTCCGGCGCGGGCCCTAGCCTCCAAAGGCGTTGTCAGGGGTCCTGTGGTGACAGTCCCGCCTATTTAGCTAAACCGGTTGCCGATGTCAACAGCAGATCAAGAAGAGCTAATCAAGACAGCAAAGAAGCAGAAGACTGCGACACCTGTGAATCCTGGAGCGTGCAGTGGTTTGGGAAGAGAGACCCAGGCGACAGCCAATCAAGAGGAGTCCAAGGAAGCCGGAGGAAGGGAGGATAACCTGCGCAGTTCCAACATTGAATAGAAGCGGCGGTGAGAGTTTGTCGTAAGGATTTGGTAAGGATTTCGGCGGCCCCATACAATACACGGAAGAATCAAACCTGACTGATGATTACCAGTGCGGCCGATGGATGAATGGCACGAAGCCATAAATATGCAGCGGCTACCGAGAGTGTGAAATACGCGATAAGCCACTCAGAAGCTTAGGGACGCGACAGCGTATTTTGTGCCACTTCACGACTCGGGGGATTTGGTATATCCTCTGGCCTGTAATTAGCGTTGCATAGCCCCGTCGGCAGAGACGATGAGACTCCGATACGGACCCTGATGGAAGGTCTGCCCCCACATCCGCACATTTGTGGGTCGACATCTGTCCCACCAGGCCTGCCTACCTCCGCCCAGTTGGCTCCGTCACACCTTGCAACCTAGCTGTGCAATTTACGGTGGGCGGCGTGACGGTGGGATGGTTGCTATAGCTTGTATTGTGGTTTCATCTCGCTTATTGGGGCTTCCATCAGAAAAAGATCAGTAGCGCACTTTGTACCTGGAGCCTGACGTACTCGAGTTGCATGGGTGCTAACCCCCAAAATACAGGTCAATACACTTAGTCAGTTGTCAAAACTACAGATTCCTTTAATAGTCATCATAGCTGCTTGTAGGCGGGATGCCATCGAGGTTGATTTCCCCGATTTTGGGCATTTCAGCATCTGCTTTCGTCGACCACCAAAATGATTTTGGTTTCAAATGCATGAGTCTGGATTGTGCCAAGTTTAAATTTCTCCTAAACATGGTTTCACATCTTCCACGCCACGGGAGTCATGACTACGGACCTGCATGTAGGTTTAGAAAGAACCTACATGAATTATGAGCCAGTATCTTCAATGCATATTGCGAATCACATTTTTTTCAGTAGAAAAAGAGATTAAAAATAACGGAGTTTCTTTATCAATATTTTTTGCTGGAAAACTCGAATACCATGGTTGTCCTATTCCCTTTTCAGTGGATTGAAGATCAATTCAAGGGGGGAAGGCAATAGATACAACCTGGAGTGTGAGGTCGAAAGATTGGGTAAAATGGGTGGGTAGAGAAAAGGAACACCCAGCAGGAACCAAAAAAAAACCAATGGCCATCGTGGGGGTCGAACCCAAGACCTTCGCGTTAACAAACTGGACTGGTTTATATTAGCACGACGCTCTAACCAACTGAGCTAGACGGCCGATATGAGAGGTCGCTCGCCGTCGTATACCACTGGGGGGGAGAGTCCACCTCCATTTGAATTTGGAAACTTGTTTGACATTGACGCCATGATTCTACTTGATCTACAATGGTATGAGGGCCCTTTGATGTCAACTAAAGCCTTCAATAATGCAATTCAACAAGCGGTATGAGTTGTAATCATGACTCCACAACTCAGGTGCAATGGGGCATTGTCATATATCTTCTTGTCCGAATTCCTGCTCTCCGAAACAACACAAGTTTTTGGCTCTTGCTACCATGCCAGAGGGCATCTGTTTTATCTACACATCAATCCAAGCCATCGGAAATTGAAGCACCTCATACCTCAATTAATTGATCCTCTTCGCAATCACACCAAATAAAGCAAAATTTCAGTCTGGACTGAAACTGCATTTGATTTACCATGAATCTATATCTAAATCAGCCCAACTGATATGAGGCAAATGAGTGATGATTGATTCTCACAAAGAAACTCAAAGATTCATTGTGCATTTCAGCAGGGATGAAATCCCGCAGCTAGTGGCTTGCTATTTATATCAATGAATAGCAAAATTCGCTCAGGGATTTCAGCCGCACTGAAACGCATAACAACTCTTTCAGTTTCTCTCTGAGAATCAGCCATCACGGATTTTCCCCATTTCTGGGTGACTGATTTGGATATAGGGTCATGGTAAATCAAACACAGTTTCAGTCTGGACTGAAATATTGCTTTATTCAGTGTGAATCCCTGTTTTTCTTGCTCTCAATATACATGCGATCCTCATGACTCACTGATTGGCAGATTTATCCTCATGCTTGGCCCCTCCCCAGTGTACATCAGCCCACAGGTGATCCCCTTTGGCTGATCACTACCCACAAGACCCGAGAGCACACAGTGTGCATCTGCAAACCTTGACTCATTCACAGCTACCTGTTTGCAGAGGATCCCCATTCGACTCAGGGGTGGGTCATTAATTGTATCATAACAATCTTTTTCCAGCCGTAGCGAACAAAGGGTGTCCACAAATATTGAATCCAAGTCCCCATGAAATTGGCCATAGAGGCACTCCAGGATCCCTATGAATGTGTTGAACTCGAATGAACTCACACATATTCCAGCTGGCAAATTGGAGACAAAATGAGTTTGGATCGTGAATGAAATGAAGTGGCCTTGAGTCAGACAAGGGACATGCAAAAAATCTCGGACAATATGGTGTGGCATGATGTGTGGGCAGAGACTACTCTGCCCCAGCTCCTCACCTCAGTTTGACTGGATCAGAGCACATTTGAGTGAGCAGACCCACAGCGATCATAGCTGTGTAGACAAGGGTGTGTACATAGGCAGTGATCATCGGCTGAAGAAATTTCCCCATTCAGCCATCAGATCCGGTGATCAGCTACTTGTGTTGAACGCAAAAATTGTGGATGCTCACAAGGGGAACACGGCCAAATTCCAGATTTTTTTTACCTAGCCCTGTTTGGGTGATGCACACTCTCTGTTTCTGCGCCAACTCTTTTGTGTTGATGTAAAGGCGTCTCATCTCCATTACTAAACCAAAGCTAAACTAGCGAGGTAGAAAACAATGGTTGGCAGGGGGGATTAATAAACAAGTCCAAATTGCCAGAGGTAGCCCTATATTGCAACCACCGAGTTTGATGAGAAAGCAACAGTGTTGGTCCTTGACTACATCGGTTCCTTCTCATGAGGTCGAAGATCAGTGGACCAGGTGCAAGGCCGGGGCTGGCGAAAGCAATAAAATAAATATGTTTTGAAGGTGGGTTCAATAGCCGGGAAGGAGGGGGGTGAAGATTCAGTTGGAGGACGAAAGAGAAATTGAGTGCAGGGAAACATAAAAAGTGCATGGCCATCGTGGGGGTCGAACCCAAGACCTTCGCGTAAATGAAAGTCAACCAACACAATCATATTAGCACGACGCTCTAACCAACTGAGCTAGACGGCCAGTGATAAATTTTCCTTGGCGCCGGCCATCCCGGGCGTAAAATCTGCTCGCCATCCAAACTTTGAAAGTTCTTTGGTACTGACGTGACTTGGGGTTCCACTTGCATTTATTACCCTTCATCTGGAATCATATGACAGCCTATCCATGTCACCTAAGGACCCGTTCGGGTGCCCTGTGTACGTACACAGATCCTGCCAAAATCGAAGCATATGACGGACAAGGCAAATGCTTCCATCATGCACGCACCTACTGCTGGCACGAAGACACGTGTCCGTTGGTCCTCCACCGACGATGCGAAACTGGTAGCAACTTTGACGACTGCCAAGGCAAACGGCCTTCAAGCAGACAGCAGCTGGAAGCCCTTGGTCTGGCAGCAGTGCACTGATGCTCTGAAGGATAGTCCAGACCCTCCAAAGATGGCAAAGAAGTGCCAGGACCACTGGGGTAAAAGTGTGAGTCTTCTTTCTTCTTTCTCTCACTGCAACTCATTGTCAGCAGCTGAAAAAGGACTTCAAGGATATTCGAGGACTATGTGATCTGTCGGGATTCAATTGGGATGATGGCCTCAAGATGTTTACCGCAAGAGATGCTGTATGGGATGATCTTCTGAAGGTAACTAACACAGAATTATCGCCTGAGCAGACTTTGATAAATCTGCAGCACCACCCCGAACATGAGTGCTGGAGGACATTGCCGTTCCCATTCTATGATGAGATCCTTCATCCCGTGGATGGCATTATTGCTATGGGGGCTGGTGCGTTTCATACCAGCTCCACTCCTCCACCCAAGGCCCCTGCTGCACCACCGGGCAAGGACAGGGATGTGGAAATCATGATGGTGTGTCTACGTAAATCTTTTTATCTCAACATTGACTGACAATTTACAGACACCTGTAGTTGATCTCAATGATAACCTCATCCCTTCGTCCCTGATTCGCCCCCACATCCGCAAGTGTGCTGCCTGATCATCTCCATTGACCACTACATCAACTGCCACCAAGAGATCGCGCGCAAGTGGAACACAGCAGCAGCAAATGAGGTAGCTGCTGCGATGTGCTCAGTGGCAGCCACCCTTGCTGTCAATGGCAGCCCACATGGTCAGATGTGACAAGCTGCTGTTCACTGCCTCCAGGAAGACAGTGATTTTAGCTCGGATGAAGAGTCCAGCATCATGCTGCTCTTTTCGCGTGACAAGGATGTGTCGATCTCAAGCATCTTCCTCGCTGCAGAGCCGAAGTCTCATCATACTGCATTTTTACGCAAGGTACTTGCTGCAGATGAGAAGGACATGTAGCTATCATTTGTTGTAGCTTGTCATATAATTCTATGCATTGGGAACCTGTCCTCACTCTCGCACAACAACTAGATTGTCCTCCCAAATCTGCTGAGCAATATGGTCTCTACATGCCGATGTACGTGCCCTCTCAGTTGCTGTAATGGAGATCCCAAGCTCCTCAGCACTCACTGCATTTTGACAGGTTCTGGACCCACCTTAGCCCAGGTATGCCGAGGCTTTGCCCTGCTTTGCCGAGCTGCCAAGCGGCTGTGTCTAGCTTAGCCGAGACACCCTGAGACACCTCGGCAAAGGCTCGGCATACCTGGGCTGATGGGTTCCAGGCTAGGTCCTAGGAACCATCAAAATGCAGTGACTGATTTCTCAGGGTTCATAGTTGAAGAAACCTTCCAGACTTCCTGACACCTCACTCTGTACGGAATTCTGAGAAGTTCCTTTACCAGGTGATCCCAAATCCAAAGCATTGTTGTCCGAATCGTGTACCTGCAGAAAATTGTGCAAGGCAGCAATGGCGGGTACAAGCTTGGCTTGCGTCTGAACAGTTGCTGAACAGGGTACTCTGGTGCACGGCTGAAAACAGCCCAGCGACGCTTCACAATGCCAAAGATACACTCAATAATGTTTCGTGCGCATGTGTGACGTAGGTTAAAAAGATAACAAAATTATAGATACCGTTGCTGGGCAGTGCCCCACTCCTTCAAATGATACTGAACACCACGGTAGGGGGTCAGGAAAATATCACAGAGTGGGAAGCCAGCATCAGCAAGATAATATCGACCCTCGTCAACCACGAAATTGTGGTCCCATGCATACTCGTAAACCACAGAGTCTGCTGCACCGCCACTTAGGATGCATACAAACAGCATTGAAAGCTGCAAGCTGCAAGAACATTTTGGCCGACAAATTCCTTTCGGTTACGATATTGTGCAATGACCTCAACTAATACCCAGGCGTGCAAATGTGAGCCATCTATGGCCCCACGACAATTGCGAAAATATGGGTAGAGTTTCGGGTCTTTTTTTATCTCTGCTGGGGTCTCATCGGGAGGAAGATGGACATGTTTCTTGTAGAATGAGCCCACAAGCAACAATAAATTCGTGTATATGGACCTGTAAAAAATAGGTGGTGACCAGACAGCATGAAGAGAGGCAACCAATTGGTTGTTTCCGCACTTCGCTGGAATCGTTCTTGAAGTGAACAATTGCTGGCCCCAGTGCATGCAAAATGCAAGAATGTCGTGATTTTTTCATCAGCAGTGACGAATTTGCTGGCGGTAAGTCCTGAGTTGGTCTGGAGTTCAAAAGACCGGCGGTAGAACACGTGTTTTGACATCCCAAATTGCTCTCGAAAGCGACCTGGGTGTCCGAAAAGAAGCTCATCAAGCCAGCACTGGCCTGTGAAAAGGGAGGTGTGTTTTGTAATAGGATCAGGGCAATCGAGGGCGAGTGAAACTGAATACGCAGCAAAAGTGCAGAGCACAGCAGCAATTGCACACAGTCTGCGGCGTCACTCCTTTTCCTGGTGTTTTTTCTCACGCTGTCGTGCCTCGAAAGCCTTGCGCGCAATAAGCCGTAATAAATCTAGATTATTTCCAGCCATTAGAGTGAGAGGAAGGCAGGAAACATGACAGGAAACACAGAAAAAAAATGACATTATGTGTCAAATTTAAACGCGTGTATGTAACCGAGTGTCTACGCGTTTTCTGTAGGAATACAAGCGGCTGCTCTGCCGCTTCGCGGCCTCGCATC